TCAATCGTTCAGTTCATTTTGCCATGCGGGGGGATTTTGGGGGCCCTACTAAGGGCCTGGGCCCCCTGAATGGTATCCATGCTCCTCCTATGGCCCTGGTCACCCCCAACGTCGATTTGCTCTGGAAATGAATGCAAGATTCAGAACTTACTGCTGAATTTATGCCTGAATCGGCCCCAATGTGGCCATATTCGGTAACACGTCCTACAAGGTTTACAAGTGAGCTCTGTCACAACCCGGGGGCCTGCTTCGATGCCACATGTTAAAACCCGGAGTGGGGGGGGGTCACAATAACAAGTGAATAATGTCCTACTTTGTTTCATTGATGCCGTCAGCTTGTCAGGCTCCATAGTGATTGTGCTTCCATAATGGTCAACAACTCATTTCCCGTAGAGAGGGATGTTTGAGGGGGGGGCATGCGCAGCAGTTTAAGTAGAAACATAGAATGAACAGGAACACGCTCTCCTTCAGTGAGTTCTGAAGTGACACTCCACAGAGATAATGCAAGACTATCACCATGACGACCCCGGTGTGGATGCTGTGTGCCTGGGCGGGGCTTGCTGTGCTGGCTGGCAGTGTGAGCGCGAGGCACGCTGTGCCCGGCGTCTCCTGAAAACTTGACGTGCTGATTATTTTTGCCTTTACAAATAACAAGTGTGGGAGGGTGGGGGGAGAGATATCCAGGGAGAAAGACACACAGCGGACAATGTGGAAGTAAGGCTGCAACAAACAGAGAAAATTAAGTCAATTGCCTATAGCCTTTTCCAGCAACGTTGCACATGCACCGGGCCTATGTTTACATCAAGAAGCGCTCTAACTGCACATGTGTGATTCCTGGCCTCTTCCTGATATACTCCAGGGTAATCACATTGTCCCCAAATTCAGTGCAATCAGGGTTCAAACCACTAGGCATGACTGAAACCCATTGGTAGGATTTGATGGCTCTGGGAGGGAGGCAGCCAATTCGAAGCTATTAAAGGACACTGAGTAACCCCATAGACTCTGCTGGGTGAAGCATGGTTCAGTGACCAGCAGGGGGCGACCTGAATCACCCTGTGACAGACACTCATATTCATTACTAACATTTACAACTGTTAATTTAGCTAATTCTTTAGCCCGCAGCAAAATACAAGGCAGATAATACATCACACAATTAAGGAGGCAACTTAGGTAACAGTTAGAAGTTATAAGTCTCCAATGAGCGGCTAGTAACAAGTACAAGGTATTAATGGGAAGAAAAGCAGAGCTGAGCAGCCCTCTGGCCTCACACCTCCAAGGTCTGACACACGTTTTAGGTGGATTGGTGTCTCTGATTAACCTTAAGCGTCTATGTGCCGGTCTAGAAGCTTCCACGCCACATGATCCTGTACAGCAGGGGTGTCAAACTCATTTTAGGGTGAGGGCCGGATGAGAAGAAATGTGACCATGTGCGGGCCGAATTTATTAT